TCGACAAATTTATAATATTCATAATATTAGTTGTTGATATAATCGGGATAAAATGCTGTATTTAACTTTATTTAATTGTGACAGATCTTTAAGTTGTTCATTTATATTCTATTTTTGATTTGAATAAAGTTATATAATAATAAATTTGGCAACGTGATTTAATAACCGTAGCATAAACACCTGTCATCTTATAATCTTTACACATTATTCTTAGAGTTGATTTGCCTTATCTATTTAATTATAAAATAATAAGGACAATTTAGATCGATGCCGTGAACTGACTTGTAAACAAGTTTTCAATAACATTGCTTGATAATTATGAACACTGAACAGCTGTTAGTACTCAGTGAACAACCGTTATTATAATCTATATAGTTTAGCAGCTACTAGTGGTACCGGACAAACTGAAACAAAATCTCTTGAAACTCTGATAGAAGTGAGTAGCAAGCTAGAGCTAGGTTACTTTGATGGTTGAGACTTTTGAGTAGTGCAGTTAAACTATGTAACCATGCAGAAATAAGTTCATCCTAAATCAAAATTAATCATGGTTGGCGGAGTTTTTGAATTCTTTAAACCATAATTAAACCAGGCCATGCAGACTCAACCGCCATAACTTAATCAATGTAATTATTTGTAGTCATGCGATTCAGTGAGAACCATGATATCTAGGAGTAACCTCGCCATAACGTGAAACAGTATACATATAAATTATAAAATGGCTGGAGAATTTATAAAAACACGAACAAAGTTTTGGAGAGTAGCTAACTATAGGTATACAAATAAATAAAATTTCGACATGAACTGGATGGGCGAGGCGGCCACAAGTATTTAAATCTAAATCGAGACTATATTAAATACTCATTAATATAATACGAAGTGAATTAAATGTAACTCAGGGAGATTAAGCCCAGCTCACAGATATGTTATTTATATTTATAACCATCTTACTGAGCAACATTACCAGAATTACGTGATTCAGGGATCTACCTACTCATGCTGATGCAATGATTTCTTTGGAAGTAAATATTTAGAATTACATAATGTAAATGGCTTCCTCTGACTACACAAAAACGTACTATCGAAACGATTCTAGTTCTAGTTCTAGTATCGTAACTAAAGCTAACTGCTTAGATATCACTCAGAATCTCCCCCAAGACTAATTGGATGTGGGAAAGTAGTTATGTATGGGAAATTAGCTTCGTCACGAATCACGACCCACGGGGTCTAAGGTAAAGAAGTAGTCCACACTCCACATACGATTCATCGGTATATCGACAAAGCAGGTAAAGTGGTTAAACTTTTAGATCGGAAATTAAGCGAATATTTCATAGTAGTGAAAGTAACGATTATTAACTTGCCCTCACCGACCCCTCCTCTCTCAATGTATTATGTCAGTCTGTGGGAGCCAGACCATTTGTATGAAGCTCTATCATACCCGCTAACAGAATGGAGAGATCTTCAACATTTCGGAGATCTAATTTGTTTCTTCTTTTCATTTCATTCTCTTTTTCATTTTATTCGCTCTTTTCAATTTACCCCCTTTTCTTCTAATACCGCCAGCTTGTTTCCAAGCGAAGCGAGGTCTCTGGTCCTATTATGACAAAGGAGACTGCATCTCTCAGCACAAAGTAACAAACAAGAAGAGCACCTCTCTGGGGTGCAAGAAGTGTCGGACTTGACGGCCGCCATGAAGACCTGTCATCGGTCTCCAGAAAGCCAGGGGTCACCATTTAAGCTTTCACTTGTACCGAGTACAACTACTTTTGCTATCTGAGGTGCAAGACCTGCCGGCACCCCTCTGTACTATGCAGTCACCTCACGTAGGGACAGCTTTTAGCACTTGTGCACCAAATAGGGACCTTTCGCTATATTAAGCGCTAAACCCGATGGAGCCCCGGCCGCGAAATTATTACAATTTTCGATAGTATGATATCTAACAAAAGCGTTTAAAAAGTAGCAAAATATGAGATAAATATCACAACCAGCGAGAAGATAGTATTCGGAGTTAAGTTTATATCATGCGCCCTGAATCATTTCATTGCACTCCAATATTCTTATAGAAGTGATATAGTCTTGCTATTAATGGGGAGGCGTACGTGTTCCCCAGCTGCAGGTGCAATGCTCCCTGCAACTACGCCCTTGTACATACCTTCAGGTGCAATGCTCCCTGCAACTACGCCCTTGTACATACCTTCACTGGATGGAGGGTCGCTGGGAGCTATCCTGACGACAGACAAATTACGGAGTTTGACGATAAGGGACACTTCTCGCTGCAGGTCTTCCACACCGCCAAATGATGCTGGTCCAACCATATCCGTAAAACAGCAATCAAATATACAATGCAAGAAAGGACAAAACTTATCAACATTAATGAGAGTTTCACTTTTATATAAACTCTTTGTAGTGACGTCATACGTTTCCAATTAATTAAGTGCGAGTTGTTTTATATACCAGCCAATAGATATATCACCTTGGCTTTAGATAAAACCAATCCATATTATCTTATTTTGCATATCCTGATTAGATTTATCATTATAAAGGAGCAGCGTGCTTGTCATGCCTGATATAAGATTAATTAGAAGGTGGCTACGTGTGGTTAATTAATTTGGTGGGAAGCCGGGCACTGAGCAGCCATTGAAACTTTTAATGGTTTTCACATTAAATCGTTGTTACTAAGCCACCCCGTGGTTACTTTCGTCTTAAGTCAATTAATACTTTTTCCGTTCAAATTGCTGCTGATAATATGTCGAAATGAGAGACGCTTCTATATTTCAGCCATGCATGAAGGTTTTAAAAGCTAGAAGATGAGGAAGTTTTGCTTACCCTTGGGAAGCACTCCTTGACTCTCACTAGGTAATTCGTCCTGAGCCTTGCTACGGCCTCTTCTTGAAAACATCTACAACCAACAATTATGAAGTTTTCATTAGTTCATGTAACATCTCAATCGTTAAACCGCTCACGGCTCACACGAAATGTTGCAATTGTTCATTATCCATATAGAATCTGTTGAATTTCAATTGTTTTTTCTAGCAGCTTATCTGTTGAACAAAATAAGACGAACAGATTTACTATAAAATCTTATCTTTCTCGGTGTAATCTTGTTTATGTAGCACAGTATGGCTCAGCGTCCGCGTATAACGTACAATAAGTAAACTGGAAACGTCACTGCGTAACAAAACAAAGAACCTACTTGATTAATTTCTAACTCTCTAATACAAGCCAACAAAGAGCGTCATTGGCTTGTGCCTAATATAACTCTCGAATATAGGCTAGGAAAGCAAAAGCCTAATTACGATTGGGAATGTCTGGACATGTCCACGAAGTTATGATCTGGTTTCAATACTCCTTCTTAGGAATCCCAGGCATATTAAGAGATTTTATGGAATAAAGCTAGACTAGATACTGACAAGAAGATGACGTGTTTTCAGCGGTTGATTAAGCAATTAAGATAAGTTGGTCGAAGAATCGGTAAGAAGACGACCGGGAATACTTTATCTGGTCAGTTGTGGATTATCTTTCTTCTGGATTATTTAATTACTTTTGAAATAAACTTACACTTAGGCCTTAGCAAGAGGAGAATGCGATGATTATTTAAATATGGTTATGGCTAGTCGCCTTTTCTACCAACTTTTCATATACTTTTTGATATAATTGCTGATCGAATTAAACCGATACCACGAATTTAAGGCATCGTTTAACAATTAAATATTGAGAGGGCATGTTGTATGGAATTAAAGATGCACTATGAAATTATTGAAATCGCCAAAATATGTTTTACAGTAGAATATAAGCTATTTCATCAACATCGTCAACAAGCGATGGCAGCCCTTTCAAGAACCATCAAACTGTAACAACAGATCAAATTAGATCGCGATATAAGCAGTGCTCCTTCATTAACATCTTCAATAAGCTAATAACCAATACACAACAAAGTGAAATGTACAAGGTCCGCGCTACAAGTATAACTGCCGTGTGGGGCGTAATAACAAGCTGTTATATCAGCTGCTCACAGACAGACTGATCAATGACAAGTTGTTACACCCTATCCATTAAAATTAGAGCAAGCCATGCCAATTCATGACATTGGTATGCAGTTGTAAAAGTCAAAATATCAGATTTGACATATTGAGATAATTATTTATCGATCTGAACGTTTAACAGATGCTGATGTTAGTAGCAGTGACTTGCAAGTTGAGGGAGCTCTAGTGGTCCGGGTATCGGGTAGGCTGGCGATCTAGTTGAGGATATCTAGATGTGTTTTAAGATTATAAAACCTCCAGTATAATTTACTTCAATTGAAAAATGTTTACAGTCAATATCGAAATATTTCATTCAACGTTTCACTCCGAAAAAATTCGCAAATTTTGTCGACTTTAGAGATATCACCTTCGGTCTCAGTCATTTTCGTCATTTCCATCAGTTAAAGAAATGTTCATCAGACGAAAGGCTACGAATAACAGCACTTAGGAATCATTAAACGAGCCTACCGCAAAATGACAATAAAATTAATAAAGCCCGTTCGTCTGACAGTGACAGTTGAGCTTTCACGCTACACAGTGACGTAGGAAAAAAGGGAGTAAATCACTTTCGGAGCAGTTTCCACCATCCCAGATATTGATTGAAATTGAATTGATCTATATTCTACATATACATATATGTATTTAATTCAGTTCTGAATGGGCTTGCCTCACGCGATACGAGGCATGTTGTGACAGTTGTCACATCAAGGTACAGCCAACTATCATTTCCATGTCCCTACTTCCACCCGGCCTCCACCCGGCCTCCACTCAAAAAATTCAATTTAAAATTTGTCCACTCGTAAAATAAAGGTATATAACTTTATAAATTTTTAAGCGACGCCACAGCTGCATAGAAGCAACTTTACAAATAAAGCAACTTTACAAATACATAAAAGATTTAAATTAAGAAAAAATTAAATACGACACAACATTTCGATAAAACCTTCTGTAAAAAGTAATAGTTACAAATTATGCACATACCTGGTACACAACTAGTTCCATAGTCTACAGAAGGGGAGTCTACAATCCGAGAGAATTGAGCCTGACGTTTCCATTTCCTACCAAGACGTCGTGCCAGGGAGTTACTTCGAGACAAATGATTACAGGATCCGCAACTCATTCCTACACAGGGAATAGGAAGTGTTAGTATTCCTACACAGGGAATAGGAAGTGTTAGTATTCACTATTCCTACACATAGATAGGGAGTGTTAGTGTTCCTACACAGTACACATAGGTAGGGAGTGTTAGTGTTCCTACACATATTAGGGAGGGAGTGTTAGTGTTCCTACACATAGGTAGGGAGTGTTAGTGTTCCTACACATAGGAGGGAGTGTTAGTGTTCCTACACATAGGTAGGGAGTGTTAGTGTTCCTACACATAGGTAGGGAGTGTTAGTGTTCCTACACATAGGGAGGGAGTGTTAGTGTTCCTACACATATGTAGGGAGTGTTAGTGTTCTTACACATAGGGAGGGAGTGTTAGTGTTCCTACACATAGGGTAAAGGGTTTTTAACAATTATTCTTCTTCTTTCTAATATATAAATAAACAAATATTTAACCTCAAAATGATGCAACAGATATAAAATAAATGGAATCTCACATGCACATTCAACTACTCCCTGCTACTAGAGTACAAGCTTGCACATTATATTTATTAACAAAAAGGAGCAAACCTAAAACAAATAATCACGAGTGCTTAACAATAATTCCACACAAAAAATAGTTGCGAAATATTTAATACAAGACGGATGCCAGTCATTCTTAAGAAACAGACAATGCAATAATTTTATACAATTGCTTTCCTATCATTTGAATTATTACTTCAGTGTTGATGTATGATAGTGAGGTATGAATGTACGAAACTATTTTATTACGCTTAAAGCATGAAATTGCTCTTTGATAAAAGTTATATTTTTGATTGTGAGAGAGAGAACTGACGGAAATGGGATCAGGAATGATTCCGAAGACTTTGAACATGGTTTTATTCCACTAAAGTTGTATTGCTATTAACGACCTTTTCGAGTGCAACCTTTGTGCACTGGATTTTAATTTTTAGTTTGTTGGAAAATTGTTAGTAGGAATTAAAATCGAAAACACGGTGGACAGAGCCGTTTTGTAACCGCTTCAAAATGGACTTATACAACCGCGGAGCTTAAGAATAAAAGTTAGATTCGAGGCGTTGCGCAAGATTGTAGTCAAAAAGTATTACGCAAAGGTAAATCATAAAAAAGGAAAATGCTCTTGCATGCAAGTAGTTGAGATCATATTATCAAATTATATCCGGTCATGAAGTTAACAATGGAACGTTCGTTTGAATCACAAAAATGGATCTAAGTCTTCAGACATGGCTCCAAATTCCACGACATAAAGTTCAGGGCTGAGGATCCTATCACGTGGTAACATGACTCTCCAATCAGTGTCTTACAAAATGGTTACAGCACGTGTCATAAACTTAAAACAATAGCTAAATATCATTTTTGGTATAATCGCGCTAAAAAGTTGGTACATATTATTCATTACTTGCCTGGACTAAAGGCTAACACATGAATCCTCAAAACACAACAGACTGATATTGACTCCCGCTCATCTTTGCGATTACTCAACATGGTTTATATATCATAACCACATACGCAAAAGTTCTCAGTTAAATTTAGAAGCTTTTAAAATACACCCCACCCACACGTCAACCCGCACCCAACCCACGCAACAGATAAATGAAACACGAAAGCAAGCTGGAAGCACCACGACAGTAACCAGATCAGGGATCAGGGAGAGAGGGAGAGAAAGCAATATAGTGCCCCAACTCTCTCTCTGTAGAGATGTAGGCAGGCAGAGATTTTAATTACCCGACCGCTCCATCTTACCTTATATGGGCACTTCTCTACAACTTCCATGCGTCATGGCAAGCGCGGTCTCCCTCTATTTGACACGGGGTATTTAATGGTATTCAAAATAAAATCGTTTACACGCACGACCGTTTCAAACGGGTGTTTATTGGACATTGGAAAGATGTGTCGAACGAGCAGGACAATTAGGTACACAATCCTCCAAACGAGAATGGATTTAAGGCTATAATAGTAGAGGCAATTAAGTATAAATTGCTTCACTGACGACTGACGTAGTACAAGTAAGTGACGGTCCGACGTGCACCTTGGAAGTAATAGCCATTATCCATATTGAATTTTGAGGGACCGCGCCCTCAATATTGAATACAACCTTGCTGCTCAAATGTCAGACCCTCTGTGCTCTGGTATGGTAATGCAATATGATATATACATTATGTTAAATGCATAATATAATGCTCAATACTTTAATATAAAGCATAATATAACGTTACCATGTGTATTGTCTATCTGCCTATGATTTCTCATTGTTTATAAAAACTATTGCGAAATTAAGCCTAGCCAGCACACCTGCTCGCAGGACTATGTTATTTGCACAGGACACGAGTTGCAGTAAAACTAAAAGGAAATAGAGTGACATTAACCTTTAACCAGAGGTATATCCGGTATTTGAGTTGTCGACAGATAATGCTGATCAGAAAATTGTTTGTCTTTTGGCGGCGTTCCGCCAAGTTCCGCGGACTTGTGTTAAACTTTCTTGTTACAAAATTTAACATTGTGAATAAAAATGATCAAACTTGGAATTTAGGAAAATAACTCCCGCTGCTATTTGTCGCAAGGATTGGAAGGAGCTGAGGAGTCAAACAGTAGGTTTATAATTTTCACCTTTTATCACCTTCAACTGTGCCAATACTAACAGCCAATCCAATATTGGTAAATATTTTACTCGATAATAACCGTGATACATATCGACAATGTCAATAACGTTGGTTTCCTATATTTCCCTAAATTACTGAATTTGACGGATGCTAAATAAGTAAATACAGTAATTTTATTAAGATTATTCCGAATTTTTATTTTGAAGAAGAATTAGAAATGGAAAATTTATAATTTATGGAGTTAACTCAATTGTTGCAATGATAGAATAATAAATAACTGATCCGGAAGTCACTGTATAATTAGGAATAATCTCTTGTTAATTAATTGTGTATTTTTATTAGTATGATAGTAAATTTTCTCCGCCGACTATAACTATAAGTTCAAGATAAAGATTATTGATCAGGATGGAGAGTAATATATTCGAGAAACAATCAATTCGTGCAATTCCTTTTACCACTTCCAATATTATGTTTATACAACAATCAATTCACGTACTTTTTGGATTTCCGCTCCTTTCCAAGGCATAATAGGACACTCAAAATTCTTTACTGTTATATGCTGAATACCCGACAGCGACAAGATCACAAAACCTTCATTTTTTACATAATTATTCTGTTAACTACTCGTATTAAAAATTTTAACCCCGTTGACAGATAGATTATTTTCAATGGAACTTATAGGCTTTCAAACTTGTCAAAATGCGTGTTTGTCACCCTGCCAACACACGGAAAGAGAGATATTTAAACTTCAGATTTACGTTAGAATATTTGTGATCTCTTCTCCAGTGAGAAGCCTTTCTTTATGAGTATTGTGTCTGGAACCCATGGCACTGTCTCTAATATGGGATTAACTGTACATTTATAATGCAGACTCAAAGATTTACCGAAACCGACAGGATTTTATTATCTTAATGGGCAAATGGAATAAGCTGGTTAAGGATCCAGGACCCCCTTGTTTTAGGAATAATTAGGACTACTTGTGCTATATCCAGGACCCCCTTGTTTTAGGAATAATTAGGACTACTTGTGCTATATCCAGGACCCCCTTGTTTTAAGAATAATTAGGACTACTTGTGCTATATCCAGGACCCCCTTGTTTTAGGAATAATTAGGACTACTTGTGCTATATCCAGGACCCCTTGTTTTAGGAATAATTAGGACTACTTGTGCTATATATATCCAGGGGAGACCTACAATTGATAAGTGCAAAAGAATTCTAACGATGCAAAATACTGGAGCAAACCTCAAAGTATATAGTTGCTTCCTGATTACGATCTATATAAAAATCTATAAAACAATGGATTATGTCAAAAATAAATATGGTGACTGAATAAACTGCATCAAATCTAACATGGAAAGATGGAAACCCTCAATATCCACTACATGGAGCAAACCAATATCTATGGTACTATCTGTCAAGTAGATCAGATCAAGCTATAAATACCTTCACATCTCACCTTCCACATACTATCAAATCAAATCTCTTAAGTACTATCCAGCGTCCAATCAGGGACCTTTGGCATTATTTGAGGTCCAATCAGATCTCACCAATTGGTCTAACTGACGTACTGTGATGGATTGGTGGGTCCTCTGAGAGGCCCCATGGTATATCGAATATTGAAGTATTAATAATATCTGAGGTCTAGGGAGGCAAGGTGTCTACAATATCACAGTATGTATACCGATTATATTTATACACAGTACCAAAGCTGAACAACGCCTTAAAGTGCACGTGAACCCATAGTACAGGAAATTACTGTCAAACTCTTGGAATGTCGCTAGGGATTAGTTTATCACCTTAATAACACCAGAATGTGTGTGTGTGTGTGTGTCTGTCTGTCTGTCTGTCCGTGTGTAATTTCCGGTCGGTTATACAAAAAAAACGGTAAGAGTTACGGGACTGATTTTTTCGGTATAGTGTCGACAAAACTCTGATGAAGCCCATAGGAAATTTTTTTTAAAATCGGCCGATGGTAAGTGGTTTAATTGATGGTTTTGTACCACAAATGTTACATAAAATTGCGTGAGCAGAACGGCAAGAGTTACGGGACTTGCTCTCTCTCTCTCATTACTGTGTAATATGTTATAGCTGCATTTAAGTAGCGTCATAATTGGATTAGCCTGGAAGATTTGCTGTAATGTTATACCTTAAGCTTATTAGGGGAGGGGGGGACTGTTAGTGTTTGGGGTCTGTTTGGACTGCAGAGAGAGAGAGAGAGAGAGAGTTCATACGACAATGTTATGCGTGTTTTCAAATATAATATGCGGGTGTGGTGCGGAGTTAACAAGGGTTAATTTCTATAACGATTTAAATAAAAATAGAAAGCGGTTCAAGACGGGAGTGATGAGGTGTAATAATCGGTGTTCAGACCTTATGATCATGGAGTGTGGTGCCTCATGGCTAATAATGACTTAATTATCCACAAGAAATAACTGATTATGAGATTATTGTTTAAGAAACTATTGGGTCACCTAATGCGGGTTTTGACTCTGCGGGTAATTACTCCTACCCTTTTTAACTGCGGCAGTGAAATCCCGGCCGTAGGCCGGGTTACACTAGTATTTGTATAATGTAATTCCAAGCTGTTTGCACCTTAAATGTCTAAATCTATCCGGATGTTTCGGATATGGATATGGGAGAGGGAGAGGGAGAGGGATCAACAACAAATCTGCAAGTAAACTCAGACATTACGAATAAGCTCCTCCTAATAAGAAGTACCGCCGAACTGAGCCCATAGAGCTGTGTTGAAAGTTTGGGTTAATGTGAATGACGTAACTACAGATTGGTAGACAAACGGTACAGACTGCTTCTTGTAATTGTGACAAAGCTTAAAGTGGTAACCATGGCAACATGCGTACCTTTTCCTCTGACGCAGGTGTGTCTCTGAGAATCCCTGCCACATCGTGCCACCAGCTCTCTGACCCACTGCAGGGAGATCACATGACTGCATGTCATGTGATCCAACATTGTATCCTTATTCTAGCACCTCCAACTGATCCAAATAAGTTATGTCGTCCTGACAACAACGCACGTCTTGCTAAGCCAACCGGAGAAACAACCGTGTTGAAGCGAACAATTATACAAGTGATCAGCGCCAGCTCAACTCTACCATTTACCATCCCAATTAGTTTGGCAGCATGTAATTTGTAATTTAATTTTCATTTTATTCAGCCTGTGCTGGTTCTGTTAATTGACTTAACTGCTGGATTACCGCCAGGATCACATGCTCCCAACCCTCCACCAAATCCTGCCCTCCTCCTGATCCCAGGGAGGCTCCACTTCACTCCTCACTGTCATCTATAGTCTAGGGAAATGGCCAGCATTTAACAGTTTACAGCTGGGTGAAGTAATTACGCCTTTTTGGCGTGTCATGTGTGTGACCACGTGTATGATATCAATGGTACTGGTTACCACGGCAATGCGTATTGGTTACCAAGGCAATGCACATGATATCAGCAACATGTTATTTTCATGTCGTAATTAATGACTGGGGTATGCCCTGTTCTTCAGAAAGAAGAATATTTTTTTTACATTTAGTGTGTGCAAAATAAATTAATTACCGTTTGTTAGTCATGAGTGAACTGGCACGGAAATAATAGTAATTGTAAGTTGGGGTGGTTAGAAGCGGAAATTCCCAAGGAAATAAAATGCTTATTGTAAATTGTTGCGACTATGATAAAAATTGGTCGCCATTCAGCTATTATAATACGTCAGAAATACTTTTAAAAGTTTGAAATGCATAATAGCATAATGTATGGCTCCCCATGAAGACAGGTACAAACCCGAGTTCACGGAACCACCCTGCTACGTGCTTCTACGTATTATTATTCATTATAAGATTATACTACTGTTGTCATGCTGTAGAAAGTAGGGCTGTATTTATATTGAAGCCAAACATGCACACTTCTTTTAAAGACACCTACATTGCAATATTAATTGGATGCCATTAAGATTAAACAAGTTTATGTACAATACCAATATTCAATAAGTGTACAGATGCAAATGTATAGAATTCCTAATTGGCGAAAGTTTGGACGGTTATTATGTGAAGGTAAATGGCCGTTGTTGCATTTACAACCGTTCATACTTTTTCTTATATGATTTATAATCGGTGGAAGAAAGCGTCAGTAAAGCAAAAGCGATTACAAGCATTTCGTTGTTTTACTTCCAGCTTAACCCACTTTCTACCGTCCAACTTATCACCAATATCTTTAAAAACGTATAAAAGTGCGTGCTGGAAAATCAAGGTTATTGCTATGGTAACACGGAAGACGAACCTAGACATCCGAAGCTCCATTGGTACATCCTACTGGGCATTATCAATTAAACGGGGCACAAAATCTCTGAGAAGTCATTAAACACACAATATAAATAGTGCACACGAAAGTCCTCCTCTTCGATTACAATCACACAAAGTAAAAGTATAGCCCGGCACGTCAAACTGCAAACATTAACTCCTACAGACACATTGCTCCACCTGACAACAGAGGAATTCACGGCATGCTGAATAACCCCACATTAGAGAGAGAGCCTTCGACAATTTGAGAAGAGGTATTATCCCACACATATATATATATATATTTATGCATATTTTATACATAATATGCGGGCAGCAATATTATATTATCCTCCTGCATCTCGTACTTGTTCGGAAGCTCGGAAGTACAGTTTCTGACGAAGCCAAAAAAGATAATACCCCTTGTTGTGGACCGTCCCCTTGTGTTATTATAAGTCCGATCATGCAGCTCTGGAAGTGAAGAACATTTGCTGCGCTACAACCGCCTGGTATCTTGATATTATTAATAGAATATGTATAGTCTGGAGGGGGGTTATTTAGAACATACATGTGTAAATCGTCTTAAGCTGTAGTGCTCTGGAAATGATGAACCCACCATTTTAGCTGCGCTACAACCCGCTCATGGTATCTTGATATTATTAGTAAAATACGTAGTGCGGCGTTGTTTTGACATGTGGTAATCACATCTTGGCACTGATAGTATCTCATCACTTGGCAGAGTTGGGTATCTCCCTGATCCCTGCAGCTCCTCTAATCAAGTTGTTATCAGTAATAATCGCAGTTGTAAAATATTTAGTGCAGCTCCACAGGACTACTGGCGTCTGGCGAACTTCTCCGCAGAATCACCTCAGTGCTTCTACCGGATTACACTTGCACTGCAGGTCCACTTCAGAGTTCAGAGGTTATGACTTATAGGCAGATACTCAGATAGAGCAACACGAATGGGTTTCTCATCTTGAAGCGCTCACGCACACACATTTAGAGTGTCAAATTTAGAAGGGTGTAAAGTTGGTCCTTCTATCTCAGTGCCTACTTTGACGGGAGGGTGACCACGGTTTTCAGCGCTGCATTCGTAATAAATAAAGTGGTTGATATGGTTTGTAGAAATTCACCAGGATATACTTCACCACTTGTTCCTCTTCTTGTATTTTAGCCGGTTACTTCACCACTCGCTTCTGAGGGTTCCACAGAAGCCAGGGCGCGTCTTAGTATTTAAAATATAGTCACGTAATTAATCTGTTTACCGGGTAGCCGACTAGCTGCTGAATTCAGGGATACTTCACACATGCAATTGACCGGTAATCTACCTTGTTTGATATTATAATTCCCAATTGTCTGAGAGATGTTGACTTTGAGGAGGCGACAAAGCGTGATTGGCCGAGGTGGAGAGAGAGCGAGACATGCCCGGCAAACTGATTTCAACAATCAATAATTTGATTGAGCAATAAAAAGAGCAAACCTCTTAATATAAGCTAATTAATTGATTCTCAATTTGTTTGATAACAGATTTGGTCACGCCCTTTTTAGTCAAAACTATAATACGACAACTAAAAGCTTCAAAGCTTGGTAGAAACGGAAACTTCATTTGTGTTGCTTCCAACGATCAACAATTTTAGTAAGCAGAGAAATAAACAATTGAATAAATTCGAACACGAATCGATTTCCAATAAAAGTTCTACGCTATTCTTTTGTCTAAACTGAAATACGGCTGCTCAAAAAATTTCAAGCTTCAACAGTTTTGTCAATATGTGAACAAGATTGAAGGAATTATATACTTGAAACTGAAACTGAATGTTGAAACTTAAAGTAAAACTATACAGTATACATGAAACTAAAGATAAAACTGAAAGCTGAAACTGGAAGTGGAACATTGAAAAGAGCCATGTACTAATTGATGGAAGCATGCCAACTGAAGACCGAGTAAATGATGCTGGGAAGCCTAGTAACTGTGTACGGACTTAAACTTTAAAGTCCGTACAAAATCGAACATTTTCTCGAGGCCTCCGTAGTCAGGTTATACTTATTAAAACAAATTGCTTGGGGTTGCTGCAATTCAGTGGTGTTTTGCTTTGATAGTTAAGCAATCGACTAGTAATCATTACCTAGTCTTTCGCTTCAGACTGAGGTTTAACTAAGAATTGACAAATTCGTTATTGAATTTTGTGAACCAAATCAAAGTGTTTTAAATCGATCAATGAAAATAAACGATTTTTTTTTGGTTTTTTGAACCAAATCAAAGTGTTTAAAATGCAGATCAATAAGAATAACTGAATAAACGAAAATCAGACGACAACCGTTATGCATCGCTACGTTGAGTATTTAGCAAAAATACCTTGATAAAATTTACAAAGCTATATATCATACAAGAACACGGTGAAATAACTTTAAACACATCGACAAATTCATTAAACACATTGACACAGAGAAGGGTAAGCCAGTTCTCACTTGAACTCTAATATATAAGAGTTTAAGTAGAGCTGAGAAAGTTCTCACTTAAAGTTTATAAATTAGAGAAAGTTCCCAAGAACTTTTTGTGTCTCACAGCATCTTCAGCGTGGGACTTTACAGTCTACAGTAAGGGGATGTTAACAACTTCCAACTAGATCAAACAAGTGAAAACAGACTCAAGTATATACATTACCATTTTAAAAACGTCTAAATTATATGTCTTCCTATCTTGCAGATTGGAGATGTTATGGCTTGTTAAGGGCATATTATATTACCCTCGACTTAAATCAAGAAGAGAACTTTAAATCAGTTATTCTCACATGAGGCCCACAAAAGACATGAATACATATTATTATTTGGTTGGGTACTGTAAAAATACTTTTTACTCTTCCTTTTTAGTTTCTATCAATCCCAACTCTCAATTAACAAATTGCAAGTATCAGAGGGATTGCAAGAACCACGGTTAATTGATAAACTTACCGGTTAGGTTAAAGGTTTCGAGCCAGGATAAAAATCAGGAGTAAAATGTCGTGAGATAAAAAACGAAAAAGAGTCACTCATCTACCATAAAGCAGAAAAAGAGATATTATACCTAAAATACCATTTCTAAAACCTTACATACTATCACTAAAAACAAAAACAATAGCATTGTATAAAGATATCAATACATAAAACTATAAATCAAGAAAAAAGTTAATGCATTAAAACTCCCTATATCATATTAAAACTAAGAGAAGGCCGGGGCTCCTCTTCACCCCTCAATATATTATAAAGTTATAACTTATTCATTTTATTTTAAACACTGAGCAGTGTTGACTGTTGACACAATGCGTTTCCTCGGTTTCCAAAAACAGTACACGAAGCTAGTTTGGTATGATTGACGCCTGCCATGAAGCAGCCGAAGTGTCTAAATTTTACAAGAAATGTGATTTTTCAGTTTCTTTCAAAGGAATTGTGGACAAAGAATTGTGCGTTTTCCCGATCCAGGAAGGTCGCTAATTAACGTACCAACATCAAACAGAAATCAGTAAGGTTATGTGACATGGTCTGGATTTTTTCAAGATTGTCTCTGAAAATTGCCGAAGGAAGTTTTAGTAGACGAAGTTTATGTTAAACTTAATAACCAGTTGCCAATTTTCACAGACAATTTTTAAAGTTTTAAAAAACCAGTCTTGATGACATGGTCGACAAAAATCTCAACTTTTTCTTAATGTCTCAGACGCTTTTATAAACTTGTGGTACTATTATATCGAAAGACTTATCAGATTCTTTGTAAGATAGTTGGGTATATTTTTCCAACAAAATTTGAGCTATTCAATCTATTATCCCAGTGATAAAAATATTACTAAAATAAGGCGGTTTAGACGCGGTTTGCAGTGTAAAACACAACAATACAGAACGGCTGAAGATATAAGCACTGTTTTACTATCGAGCATGATTAACGGTAACAATATTATTTCTACTTCTGTACAGAACACAAGTTCCAATACTGAATATATTGTTTAAAAATCAAATATCCAACAAGTGACGATGCAGTCTTATATAAAAGTTAAAGTGTTCTTCAACTTAAGTTCTATCAACAAGGTAGAATCGGTCTGTTCAGCAATATTAAGAGGGCGTATCGAAGGATCTGTGTCGGCGTGGCGTGAAATTGCGAAATGCCAAAACATAAGTCAGACCAGCTAAGTGTTTATCAATTGTTCTAGACTTGCTTTGTACCCACTATAAAGTTTATATCACTTTGATAATGGAGTCTGGCAGTACAAATATAACTATATTAAGTGCAAAATAAAGTAAGGCAAATGTTTTAAGAGGCTCACAAGTCTATTATAAAAGGTTCTAAGAGGTTGTACCTACGTATCTGTGTCGGACAAATATTCCCGATATCTCCAGCTTCGACGTTACTAGAATCTAGCAGATATTGTTACTGAGCAGATATTGTTACTGAGCAGATATTGTTACTGAGCAGATATTGTTACTGAGCGATAGAGAACTAAGTGATAGAAACCAATTACCCGTACTACAGCTACAGGCCTCCATAACAGCTCCGGGGTAAGGCTATTAAAATGTAGATAAGATATTGTAAAGAAGCAAGAGATTGGGATGACAAATTGTGAAGAACAAGAGAAGCGCTAACCAGGCAGACAAGGAAGTCGTCTGGCAACAGATAACTAGATAGCACAACACAATTAAAATTAAAAGGAGAGAGAAGTGGTCAAGGAAGTGAGTACTAATCAAGTAATCTGTGGTTTAGTGCGAGATAGAGGGGTAGATAAGACAAAGAAGGTGCCGCACAGATGGAAGCAAGGTTAGCTAGCTTCTCCTAATGCCCATATAGCACGAGCTGCTAGCAATACAATAACAGTCTAATATACACGATGGAGGGGTAGTGAGTGTAAGGATCATTGACTGAGAGAGCAGGTGATGCTTGTGTCGTCATGCTGCTCCCTACTGCATGTGTAATTGTATTGTGGGATATAACCTACTCACATTGTCCTGCGTGGAGCATGCCGAATAGCACGTGTCAGGGCGTTCAATTCCGGGATTATGGAGAAAAGCCACGTGGGCACTGAAATTCACGGGGTTGCAGTCTGTGCGGTGAATGTTATAATCCCAAGTTATAAGCTTAAAAGCTGAGAGATCGGAGATCAAATAGTTGAAGGACGAAGGTGGACATGGTATTTGAAGAACGCGTTTAGGCTGGGATACCGCGACTGAAGTTTTACCCAGCAGCTCCTGGTTCCAAGTAATTATATCGCTATCTAGTATGCAAACCAACGGAATGCACGGGTAAAGATTCAAAATATCGATATTAACCATATTCTGAGACATTTAGTGATTTAGCCACTTTTTGACTTTTTATGCCTTCAGATTTCAGACGCGTTATCTAAAGTCTATTTCTACATAATGCGTGATATTTATGTAAACCGTAAATTTTGTCTTCTTCATCAAATCTAAGTAAAAGATTTGAGCTCTGCGATCGTAATGAAATTGAAATAATTAGCTATAAGAATGGAAACCAAATAATTCTACCATATTTAATCCAATCTACTGGAGGCTGAAGTCAAATCAATCTTATAAAAAAGTGCATAGCGTCCAGCTTCGATTCGATCATTAATCACATCCCTGCAATAAACATGGCCTATAGCTGAAGGTGAAGTCACGTAGGGAATGTTGAACAATATCATCAGTTTCTTGAATCCTCCATACTTCTCACGATTTCACCACGAGTATTTAAACTACTATTAAAATGTTTACCATACGGCACACTGAATGATTCGTCAGTTTAACAAGTATCTGAAATTTAAAAAGTGATGACGAGATACCAAAGTGAAACATGGAAAAGTTTCACCATGATATTTTTTTGAGAACCTGTCAGAATAGCAATCCTCGTGAAGCCAGACCTTTTTATTTGACCGTAACTTATTATCAATGATTCTGATATTGTCTTGAGCCTCAAATTATTTGGAAACTGGCGTGAGCTGGCATCGTAATTAAAAAGTTATCACCAAAGGGTGTCCAACCATTTTTATCGCTGAATGTCCAACACAATAAAAAACAGTAAAGATGACGGAATGGTACAGTAGTCCGTTGTGGTGACCAGTACTCCTTAAAATACTCGACAGAATAAAAACCAGCTAATGTTAATAAATGCGTAGAACAGAGCACTAACTGAAATTCATTCAAAGTTAGGATAAAAACTATATTCGTGGAAGGCTAATTATAAGCATTATATGGTACTGGTAGGTCACAAAGAGTTTTATTTGTGAGAAAGTTATAGCTCCGGAAAAGTTTTATCTCCAAGGTCGTCACGCTCTTTGATACTAACTATTCCGCCATTAAACTGTCCAGGAACTCAAATTGATATTCTCATATATGAGTAGCGCCTAATGAGAACGAATTGGGTGTAAAATTAAGCAGGTCGTTTAGAAACAAGAAAAGTATAAGGCATCGAGAACCTGACAACATGGACAATCAATACTAACTTGTCAAGCTTGAAGTTTTAAAAGGCACGTGTCTTTTATTCTGCCAAATCTGCAACCATCAAAGAAGTGTTTACGAGTTATTAATGAAGTGATGTAAGGCCTCACGTGCAAGCTTTTTGACCCACGTGCAAGCTGCCAGCTTCCTGGCCTAAGATCTCTGCTTCTCTGTTTCTGTGGATATGTCAGCATTGTCACCTTGTCATATTGTCACCTTGTTTTAGATAACAAACCATTGCATTCCAAAGCCTCGATAATTCTGATCCGTCTCAGCTAAGTCTACAATTAATGTATGTTGTTTGGAGAGGGTCTATTTTATAATAATGGAGTTAGTAAACCTTATAGTATAACACAACAGTTCCAGGACATTTAAATTATCATGGTCTTTATCAGCTCATATAGGTAGGGCATCTAGACCTTGTCTAGAAATACACAGCGAACAAGTTAAAAAGATGTGTGCCACATTTGACGGCATACGAGGGCTTATAAAAACAGACACCAGTGCTCGATCAAGCACTTTATGTCATCGTACAATCAAGCACTCTATATTCCATCTAACAATGTTATTCAATGCAACAAACCCCACCCTCCCCGCCCCACCCTCCCCGCCCTCTCCGATTCAAACCCAATTATATACCTTATCATGTCAGATATCAAATCTTTACCAAAAACAAGCTTGATCCTACAATAATAGGGGTGCTAGACAGATCCTTAAAACATGATTCAAAATGGCATCATGGTTCAATAAAAAAAGAAAAAAACGACCAGTTTTCCGATTCAAATTGTAATGTTTCACAGATACTCAGATACAATCTAAGTCAAATCTTCAAAGAGGTTTTCATATATAATACTTGAAGAAATGTGTAAATCTTAAAATGATGATAAGCTAAACTAACGATAAGCTAAATTAACGATAAGCTAAACTAAATATTTAATAAAAACAAGAAGCTGACACGCGGAGATGTCTATTGTCTAAAACCAAAACAGCACGGCAAAGCGACCCAATATGTACAAATGTCCCCGAATTCATGCAAGTACACCTTGCTACCTTGGCGCTTGTGGCACACAAAGCATTAAAGAGAGCCCTGTTAAAAGGAGAGCTAGAGGTTACAAGCTTGGGGATAAAAGCCTAAAAGGTTTAGCTATGCGAATTATACTGTCAGAGTGGCTATAAAAGCAGTTAAACGTGTGTCTGCTAGGTCCTCCTTGACCCTGTTTATATGTCATTAAGCCCGAGAGCTCTGCAGTGCTTCAGTTCAAATACTAAGGGTATAATCGTGGATCAGTACGATGTGGCGTGCTCTCTCTTTGTCACGACTTCCTTGTACCGGGCAATTACCACTCTGCTGTATGGTAGTAATTACTGATCTGCAGTATACGAGTATAGTTATTAGCGTGCAATCATCACCACTGTCCACTCTGCCAATAGTATTCATTACCAGAACCACGTTTCACTTGCATATATGCTACTCAGACGTGTCCTTCCGCCTTACATTCTGTAGAAATGTTAAGAGCTCAGGTTCATGCGAGCATTCTAATCAACAAATATATTCCTCCTATTGTAATAATACTCGTGCTCTTATCAATAAGCATGTGCTGGTATAACCAACAATAGAGAAAAGCTGACTCACGAGACATAGGTCCAACAATAGCGAGACAATTAGCGAGGATTGATACCACGGCAGACCAGTGTTTTTGGTGGCGTGATGACATGTGAAGTTAACCCTACCTCGACTAGCGTAGGGCTTCCTTATAAGAGGTACGACAATCCTATAGAGGGGTGTTCGAGGAGCTGTCTATGAATTAATCTAACAGTCTGACAGTATGTGTTCAACAGCTGTACAGACACTGTCTTAACATAGACTGGAGAAATTAGATCAATCATGTGTTCTGACAACGAGTCATGTCTGAAGTTTTGGAATGGTCTCTATAATCTAGTAACAGGGAGGGTATTAGCACCTAAGCACAGAGATACGGATATTTAGATCTAACACTCCGCACAAAAACACAGCACAGAATGGATCAGTGATGTCTGCTGTAACACTCAGATACAGCACTGTAGCACTCAGATACAGCACTGTAGCACTCAGATACTGCACTGTAACACTCAGATACAGCACTCATGTAGCTTTGAAACGATGGCCTTCATGATAGCACTGACATACGGAATCTAAACTCTAGAAAAGAGACAAAGTACAATGTAAACTCTCTCTCACTCTCGTAAACGGAGAGAAAACAGGTGCACTCTCCCCTCTCTCTCTCTCTCTCTCTCTCTCTCTCTCTCTCTCTCTCTCTCTCTCTCTCTCTCTCTCTCTCTCTCTCTCTCTCTCTCTCTCTCTCTCTCTCTCTCTCTCTCTCTCTCTCTCTCTCTCTCTCTCTCTCTCTCTCTCTCTCTCTCTCTCTCTCTCTCTCTCTCTCTCTCTCTCTCTCTCTCTCTCTCTCTCTCTCTCTCTCTCTCTCTCTCTCTCTCTCTCTCTCTCTCTCTCTCTCTCTCTCTCTGTATGTCTCTCTATGTATGTCTCTCTCTCTGTGTGCATTGTTGACTCATCAGTATGAAGCATATGTCCCCCACTATAATACAAGACGTCACTATAACATGTATAACTATAAACCATCTCCAATCTTATGTACATTAACATCTGTCCCTTTATATCTACAGTATAAACGTCAGTACTCAGTACGTGTCATTTTAGCATTATCTTTGTGTCTGTAGACCCACTTGCTCACGATTGCACGTGCAAACCTGTAGTTACATGTGCAAACTCGAGATTTCACGTTGAAAAACTCGTAGTTTGATTGACGATGTCAAATATCCTTTCCAGCTTGTAGCTTTGCTACGATCTCGTAGAAGCGAGAAGCATTATATTTTGATGCGCGGCGCGGCCCAATAGGCCAAATAGGTTTAACTCTTCCCACAGCTCCATGCAAAAGTCCAACAGTTCAAAAGTTCAAAGGACTCTCTTACTCAATTTTCAGGTTTCGCTCGTTATTGTACCTAAATACATGGTTTAGGGGTGTAGTCGAACAAATTTTTAACTCTTAATTATAAAAACAAACCCTTAATTATTGCACAAGCAAAGTCATACTCTCCTTTTTTCATAAAACATTTTTATTTCTAGTCCACTAGTTGTTTGAATTCAAATTGAATTCAAATGCAGAACGCTAAATTAAGCCTTAAGGGGGCCGTTTTTGACGATTTTTTGAAGTCCAAGATAAAAATCAAATAAAAATGTTTAAAGGCCTATCTCAAAATTTTGTCTGGCTCATCTCTTTTAAATGATCCGTAGAACATATTTCGAAAGTTTGATCAGGGTGATTGCTTTAAAATTGTAGGAGGAGATAAATTTGTAGACTCGATTTTCAGGACGCGCGAAATTGAAAATCGCTCGCGCAATACAATTACATGTATTACTATAACCTGCAACCTGGGGACCCCAAGTTATTATGTTCATAAAGATTCCGGTCGCGCTAAATCACTCTACAGTCGATTCTCTTATTTTCATCACTTTTAGTTTCGCATTGTTTCTACTACATGCAGCTTACTTCTATTACAAATAAAAGCTATTTTATTTAACGACATTTGTTGGAGCTGTCATAATCATATTCGATAACAATTTTAATCTCACAATAATTGTTTATTGCTGACTGTCTGCTTTCTGTATTACATAACCAAGTTGACACAGTTGTCTGAATTGGTAGACCTAGCCTGACAGCGGACAACTAACAAATCCAAAGTAAAATAATTACCTGTAAGTAACTATACCACTTGTGTGAGCTAAATTTGAACGTGACTGATGAAGTACAAATTTATAAAATGTGTTAAGTTATGTCCGAAATGATATTATAGTCTGACAAATGGAGATTTACTACAATAAATCTTGAAATAGAATTTCAGAGCGATAGAATGCATTTGCTGCGTAGTGCGTGGCATATGTTTTGTACATTGTACAATTTTGGCCATCGCGAATATATTTTCATCCCCTTTTTAGAAGATTTCGTAATCTGATCGGTTTTCCAGGTTCAATATTCTGCAAAATCGATAATCTACGACAATTTATATTACTTAAAGTAGATGTGGGTATTGATTACCCCCGAAATCACGTTTACTGTTTAGTAGTGCATTAATAAGTCAGTGATAAGATCAAACCAAATATTTAGGAAAGCGATCAGCAATGTAAAAGATTTTCTAAGCTAAAAGGCAACGCTGATAAAACAGAAAGCTCGAGCAGCAATGTATAAGATTTTCTAAGCTAAAAGGCTACGTTGGTAAAACAAAGGCTCGCATGCTGTTCAATAAATACCATGTACTTAGCACATTTTGATGCAACTCTAATATATATATCTCTGAAAGATCAGAATCGCAAGGTGCTGCTGGGTATATTTATATATAGCTGACCATTAAAAGCGAGAACTTGAAACATGTAAAAGTAAAATTATTATAAAGAGCTTTGTATTTAGAGGTCAGATTTTCACGGCTGTGGTATA